CCACCTCTGCCCTCTTCCATCCCTCTGAGCTCAGCAAGGAAGGCTCGGAGCGGGCTCTGGGAGGCCGAGGCCAAGCAGAGCCGCTCTCCGCCAGAGGAAGCGGCATGGGTGACAGGCACGCAGAGCGGCTGATGTGCGCTGGCAGCGTGGCAGCTCGGTAAGACACCCCCTTCCTCTCCCCACCCCATACCCCAGGAGCAGAGGAGAGGCCTTACCTGACCGCCTGCAAAGATGACAGGAGAGCTGGATGGCTTGGGTCGGTACGGGATGGTGACGCCCTTCGGGGGAGACTGGGTGACAGGCAGAGAGGAGAAGTTAGACACCGAGTGCCACCAGCACTGACAATCCCCTCCCTGCACCCCAACGCTCTGCTTTGGGTTTAAATCAGCCATTTAGGAGGACACAGAGCAATCCTATTTCTCGCCCACGCCAGGCACAGGGCTGAGGGAAGATACCCAAGGCGCAGAGCAGCGCACGAGGGAGGCTTGGGACAGCAGGATGCTGCTGCTCAGTGTCACCGTGCTGGGCAGCACAACGTGTCACCACGGAGCCGTGGGCAACACCATTAGGTGGCGAGCAGCTCTTAAGGGCCTGGCTCGACCCCGGTTTTAAGCAGCTCCAAGCCTCACCTGGATGAGGCCGTAATCCCCAGCTATCCCTTTATCCCCCAGCAGCCATTTCTCTGTCCTCAGCAGCTTCCACTTGCTAGGAGGGCCACAGCTCGCCAAGGGCAGCGGGGATCCCTGCGCTGCACGTGCCTCCCCGGGGGAAAAAACGGGCCCGCGGGGAGGCCCTACCTCAAGCATGACGACGCAGATCTGTTTGACGCACTCGATGATGGACTGTGGGATCCCAGCGATGGTGATGGCTCGCTCAGTCGAGTTGGGCAGCATGTCTCCTGCCACCTGGACCTGTGCCCCCGTGCTCTGCAAAGTTTACGGTTAAAAATAGGCGGTCAGACCCCAGCGAGGGCTGTGACCTCAGCAACAAACCCCGTGGATGGGTTATACATAGCCAAAACTTGTCCTCCCCCCCGCCCCTTTCCCCAAAAATAAAGTCCTTTAATCCTAGCTGGAAATAATTTGGTCATCAGGAGCCCGGGGCAGGAGAGAAGGACCTGGGCTGCAGCTTTTCCCTGTAACCCAAGTCAAGCCTGTCTCTGCAGCCAGCAGAGCTGGACAGAATTAATCCCCCAGCAGCCCACGGTCGGCAGCGCTGGGTTACCGAGGGCAGCGCAGGCCTGGCAGCGCATTTGATTGAGAGCCCAGGGAAGGGGGGAGCAAGAACCCAGGCATCCCACTGTGGGGAACAGTGTCGAGAAGGGGAGGGTCTGCCCCAAGTCTCAGTTTCACAAGCACTAAAAATACAAGGAGCTCTAAAAAAGTCGAACGATGCCACGTCTCTACTATGTGGTACCACCCGGGGTGGGGGCTGACACAAGGATTTGCCCCTGGGGGCACCCAGACCCCGTGCATCCCCCTCCGGGCTGGCCAACACACACCTCTCTTATCTCTTTGATCTTGCAACCTCCTTTTCCAATGAGGGAACCGCACTGGCTGGCGGGTACCACGAGCCGGAGGGTGACCGGGGGCCGGCTGGCAGCTGTACTGTTGGTCATGGAGCTGCTGATGTCCTGCGAGGAAGAGGAGTTACTCAGAGGGGTCAGCCCAGCGCGGTGCCCTCGCCAGAATGGCACGCAGGGAGGTGACGTGCCCGGCAGAGGGACAGAGAGGATGACGCTGGCATGGGCAGGCCGGGCCAAGGTGACCCCGAGGCTCTCCCAGTCTTATTTCCCAGGACTTTGTTAGCAGCCCAGAAATGACAGGGCGACATTGCGGGGAAGGAAGAAGCAGCCAAACTCTGTTGTCTCAATGAAAGTGGGGGTTTAACCCCCACCAGCCCAGCGCAGAGGCACCAGCTGGGTCACGTCGCAGCCAAATGGGAACCGGCTGTGCCGGTGCTGGAGGGGGACAAGCGGGTGGGGGCTTGGTGCGCCCACAGCTC